TTTTAAAGGACTGTATTTTTTTCAAAAACTTGCTTCCTTTATTTAAGCCCCTGGAGGACCATGGTCTATTTGGAGTCTCATGGGTCATTCTGCTATCAATGAACAATGACGGACTCCCCATCTTCCAGGACCAGTCTGTCACCAGGGTCCATCTGTCACCAGGGCCCTTCTGTCACCAGATCCTTTCAGTCTTTCTTTCAAAATGTCCCTTGGATTTAGTAGTCCTTCTTCATTCTCTAATCCAGGTTCTTAGCACTTTGCTCTGTGCCATTACAAAAAGCCTCTCTGTAGTCTCATCTCTCCGCATTTCAGACTATTCCACTAGTCGAACCTTTCCCATTTTATTATATTACTCCCTTGCTAAAGAACTTTTTAGTCACTATTCCTTCTGATCAGGTGCTAATTCTTTTGTTGAACTTTGAAGATTGGCTTGCTAATTCTTGTCTATTGCTACGTAAACTGAGATGCCATAGCTGACCTGCCAGCACTACGTCCGACTGGAGCAGGGCTCAGGAAACGGCGCGTCGCCATGTGTGCAGTTCAGATCTCTGCTCCAGCTGACTGGGGTTGTAGTGTTTCCTGAACATGCCATGCTGCTTCCTTACTCTTAGGTTTTGCTCATGTTTTCTCTTTGGAAAATAAAAGGAAGAGGAATGGTTAAAGGATGTGAAACCTCCTTCTTGTCCCGAATACACCTTTCTGACACCGCCTTTCCATGTCCAAACAGCCTTCAAGCCCAAGTATCGCTTCTTCCAAGAAGCTGTTCACAACTGCTCTGGATGACACAGGCTTTCTCCTTCCTCAAATCTTTGCCCTTATAAAACCTGTGGGAGGGATCGTGTTGTATTCCTCTTTTGCACATCCCACCCAACTTTGGCAGGGTTCTGGGAACGTAGAAACTAAATAATTGATGGGAAAAGAAGCAGGGCCACCCACAGTCCACCAGCTGGATAACTTGTCCCTAAATAATTGCAGGAGTTCCTGGGTGGTGTAAACAGTTAACATGCTCCACTGCTAACCAAAAGGTTGGAGGTTTGAGTTCACCCAGAGGTGCCTCGGAAGATAAAGCCCTGGCAATCTACCTCTGAAAAACCAGACCTTGAAAATCCCATGGCGCACAGTTCTGCTCTGGCACACATGGGGTCACCATGAGTTGGAATCGACTCGACAGCAACTGGTTACTGGTTAAATAATTGCAGGTCGATTGTACTATAAACTCTACCTTGACATCAAGTAGAAGTGTGAGTTACAGGTGGGACGCACAACTGCTTAGTGGGTTACATTTTCCTTAATACTCCAGAATCAATTATCATAATTTATAGGGACCAGCTGAGCGCTTAATTTGTGTCAAGCACTGTGCTAACAGTTTTACCACATTGTTGTGGTCGTTAGGTGCTATCGAGTTGACTTCAACTCCTAGTGACCCTACAATACAGAGTAGAACTGCTCCATAGGGTTTCCAAGGAGCAGCTGTGGATTCGAACTGCCAACCTTTCCGTTGGCAGCCAAGCTCTTACCCACTGCGCCACCAGGGCTCCTGACCTATATGTTGTCATTTAATTCTGACAACAACCCCGTGAGTTATTGCTATACACATCTAATGGGAAACTGAAGCTCAGCAAGCTTCAGTGACTTACCCAAGAGCATACAAATAGTGGTGGAGAGGACCTCAAACCCAAAGCCTGACTCCAAAGCCCTGCATCCTTAACCTCTACACCAAATCGTTTCGGGAAAAAATGCAAAAAGAATAGTCAGTCCTAACATTAACCAGAGGCCAAAAGGTACAGTATTAGCTTCATAGGAAATGGACAGGTCAACACTCGCAGGTCAAGATTCTCCTCGTCTGTGGACATGGCCCACTCGTGTATAATAAACCCCAACAATTTAGAATTACTCTCCCAACAGTCCACTACAGTCTCCCCATTTGCCATGGAAGTCTCAGATATTTTCCTTTGTTTTTCCCTGAAACATGTGGCCTGCAGGCCATGGGCACTGGAATTCCAAAGGCATGCACTGTGTCCGTGATAACAAGTGTTGCTGTGTATGACACTCCACATGTTCCTTCTTCAAGAATCCAGAGGGAGTGTCCCCAGATATCTGCAAAGCATCTTGCTCTACACTCATAGCCTCATGTGCAACGAGCATTGCACTCATACCCAGCCCGATGTTTCCCAAACTTGGCTGATCGTAATGTTCTCGCAGAGCACGTGTCAAAAACACAGATTCCCGGGCCCTCGCCTGGATCTACTGAATCGAGAATATACAGGAGCGGGGACTTGTAATCTGTATTTTTGATGGGTGCTCTCAGGTGGTACTTTTAATCAGGTAAGAAACACTGAACCCCAGGTCCTGCCTTGGATTCTCCAGTGAAGGCATACAGAGACACACTGATCCTAACATTAATATATTTAATTTTAGTGGTCATGTCTTCATAAGGCTTTGTAAGCATCTTTTTGTGGGACCAGAAAGTAGGAAAGACTTATAAATGACAGCCCCTTTTTGAAATGATTGTATAAAAAAAAAAAAAGCATGCATTTCAAAGTGGGCGTTCTTAGGACATTTGAAAGAAAAGAAAGACTGGAAAAAAAATCGATCTAAATTGATTGATGAAAAACATCCCAGAGTCCCAGTCAGGAGCCATGAGAGTTCACAGGAGGGCGGCGGATGGATGACAGGTTGTACACCTCGTATTTCAAGAAGAGTCTATTCACGGGAACCCAAAAATTGAGACTCTCCTCTCCGTGGCTCTTTTCTGTACGTGAATTAGATTCTGTTAAAATGAAGCCAAGAGAGCAGTATCTTTATTTGTCTGCTCTAAAATTATGATGCAATAATATTACTTGGAGTAAACAAGCTTTCTATGCTGAAATTTTCCAAGGCTGTTTGTTGTTTGCAAGAGGACTTGCCCTACTCACGAGGGACAGGAACAGAAGGGAAAAAAATATGCATTCTCCTTCTCCCTGGAGCCCTGGTGGCACAGTGGTTAAGAGCTCAGCTCCTAACCAAAAGGTCGGCAGTTCGAATCCACCAGCTACTCCTTGGAAACTCTATGGGGCAGTTCTACTCTATCCTAGAGGGTCGCTATGAGCCAGAATCGACTCGACGGCAATGGGCTTGGGACTCCTTCTTCCTGGATTTTTGGGTTTGTGTATGAGCGTCTTGAGAACTAATCACTCAAGCCCAGATTATTCCTCAAAATCTTGCATTTATGAAAATGCATTAAAACATTCTTAGAGACGCCACGTGGAATAATAGAGTTCAGACTTTCAAGTCTAGGGATCTGAGTTTAAATGATAACTCTGTTACTTACTAACAGTGTGTTGTTCCCTAGGCCTCAGTCTCCATCTCTGTATAATGGGAAGACTGATGTCTACATTGCAGGGCTATTTTAAGGATCAGAAATGATATACGTAAATGTGTAACAAGAAAAAGAAATGTACCTAAGAGCAATTGTCATTTCTATGTTGGGGTGGATTGGTTTACCTATTGGGAGGGTTTCCCCTCACCACTGTCTTTCGGGGCAGGGCTTTGAACCAGTCTGTTCTGGTTTGAACTCTTGCTGAGAATTTGCATTTCTAACAACTTCCCAGTAAGTTATACATAAGAATCACCTGGGGGGGGGTCTTGTTAAAATGTAGATTCTGATTCAGTATATCTGGGGTGCAAATGCAAATTCTCAGCAGGGAACTTGTTAGAAATGCAAATTCTTAGCAGGGGTTTGAACCGGAGGCGGTTTGAAGCCCTGTTTTTGGGGCAAACCCTGAGTTAGGATAGAGTGCAGCAGCAGAGGCCGGGGAAGAAAGATGGAAAGGAAGACCTTGAAGAGGTGGGCTTCCCTTCTCCCTACACCGGCACACAGCTTCCACTGGGATTACATGGTCTAGAAGTCCCAGGGTGGATGCCTCACCCACATAACCGTTTGGTAGAATAACCCCAACCCTCCACTGGCCATGTCGCATCAGACTCTACAGAACCCAGCTCTTTTCCTTTACATGATTTTGAGATGAACCTGTCTCTTTTCAATCATTACTTTTGAAAGCATCACCCCTACATGGGCATTGTAGGAAGACAGATAAATAAATAAATTAAGCCGGTCCTCAAAAGACCCAAAGTTTAAATGGTAACATTGTTGAAGCATGTGATCTTAACAGATGACATCCGACAGAGAGAAATGGTCAACACCAGTGGAACAGAGCCAAGCCTTCCCTTCCTCAAGGCTGTGACCTCCCCCCACTTGAGGTCCCCAGTTCAAAGCCGGTGCAACTCAATATGTGTGTTAAGAGGTCACCGAGGGGCTATGATGAAGGGCTCCCAGGATGACGGCCTCACCTCAGACCTTGCTATTTTGGGAGGCCCTGCCTCACCTGTCCCATTCATCACCCTGACTAAAGTCTGTTTATCTGGCCAGAAGTGTGGGCACACCCGAGAAACCAGCGCGGGGAACTCGGGCTTCGGCAAATAGTGCTGGAAGCGCGACAGGGATATTTTTATGTCATCTAACCACCTGCCAAGCTCTTAATGAACATTTCCTCATACCGTTTCAACAACAACGCTTTGCCACCGTTAGAAATGGGTATAGCATTGGACATGGGGAATCAGGGACGGAAAGCAGGAGTGTGCTGTCGCAGAATGGGGTGAGCGATTAGAGTCACATAACAATGTATGTATAAAATTTTGTATGGGAGACTAACTTGAAATGTAAACTTCATTTACACCACAACAATAAAAAAAAAGAAAAAGAAATGGGTATAGTGCTATGAATTTTATACTTAAAGCTAAGATGGGAGATAAAAAAAGAAAAAGAAAAAACATGTTAAAACAAGCAAAGGATTGGAGGTGGGGAAGCATTGCCAGACACTTTTTGGGAGCCATGCTCTAACATGCACGGTGAAGAATCACACGCACTCTCCTCAGGTTATGCCAAGTATGCAATGCGAAACGTCCCTTGTGGAGCTAGACATCAGGATGGTGGAAAGGCAGGAAGGCAGGGCAGGGCGTACCTGAGGCGTCATTGAGGCTGAAAGCGATGCGTACTGGCTTATCTGCAGGTACCCTGGCTGTGCTGATCATGTGGGCACCTGAGCCTCCGCCTTCCCCTGGGTCTTCCAGCTGTTAGGACAAGAGAGAGCCATTGTCAGTTTAGCTGGCGTCATCTCCCTGAATACTGGAAAATTAGAGGGAGGAGTTAGCAAACACTGCTTTCTTATTTTGAAGGTCTCCTAATTCTGAACTTCCTTTCCTTACATCAGAAGTATTCACCTGCCCCATTTAAAATTTTGTCTGGCTTGTAAAAAAAAAATGACATCACTGCTTTGGCCATATACATCCAGAACGGTGTGTACAAGATGTGGCAACCATCTCCACCCACTTTACTTTTTCAGGAACTCTTCACACTGACCAGCTCAACCCCGGCTCTTCAAGGTCTCATACTGTATTTTATTTTTAATTGAGAGGGATAAAGAAAAGATACAGTTTTAATAGTGTAGCAGATGACTTCAGATTAGACTAGCTTTTCATAATGAAAAGCCTAAATTGGATCTGAATTATTGATCTGGGAATGGCCAAGAGTCAGTACCATGGAATCTTATAAGAATACCAAAGGCTATTTAAAAATATCCAACAGTTACATTGCGAATATTAGGTACTTTATGTATCTGATTAACTACTTATAAATCTATCAAGCATCAACTAAGTTTGCACATCTTAACATGAATGATACAAGCAAAGAAAAAAATTAAAAATTATCCTATTGATGTTCTACTCCCTCTGTTAAATTAGTATTTAATTAATAAACTAAGAATGAACGGAAAACCCTCATTCTACGGATCAGATGGGGCAGGGTGGGCAAAAACACATGAATCGTTGTTTAACAAGAGAGAATTCAACTCAAATATATTTTAACCAAGATATTTGATCGTTTGATATTCTCAGGGACTAGGAAAAGATGTTGTTATAAATACATGATGTCCTTGTTATTTGAACACATATATTTAACTTTTCTATTTTTAGTCACGCTTCTCCTAAACCCTCTACTTTCCTTCTCACATAGATAGTAAACTGAAAAACCTGAATGCCATTTTGAAGTATAATTTTCTAAAAATGCCAAAATAGAAATCATTCCTTTAGCCATCCTTCGCAAGATTTTCCGGGAATTGCTTCAGCAATCCATTTTCTCGTAGCTGAGTTGCTGATTCTTTCCCAAAGCTTTTCCTAGCTAAAAATAGCACCTAAAACACTGAATTTTGTTTTTATATTTATAGAGCTAAAATCAATGCATATATAGCCATGTATACTCATACACACATATGGAATCACCCACCCAGCATAAGCAAAGAGAACAAGCTTTGATTAAACACCTCGTATAGTTTTGAAGAAAAACCAGTAAACTGTTTATCACCCAGTTCAGATTCTATTAGGGCCATTCATTTAACACTACAAATAGCAATGAACAGTAAAGGACTCCACTTTCAAAGTCATGTAATTCCAAGCTAGAAAGAAACAATAGTACAAAGCATTACTTTAAGGACCAGGCAATATACAGTCGCTATTACTTGACAGAAGATTTGTTTTATCTCAGCTGTGACACACACTTCTGTGTCGTCTCGTCTGCTTAGAATCAAGGGTTTTCTTAGCCACCTGTTCCTAGCGACTAGAACGGACCGTATGAAATTTAACAAAACAAACAGTAAAAATCCCCTTACAGTTGTAGATAAAAGGAAAAGGCTCGTTGTTACGCATTGTACAATAACCAACTATCTTATCATAACATCTAAGGAAGAAAAGTTATTTGGCTCTTTTGGCGAAATCTCCCAACACTTTCCTGCACCGAGACGTAGAGCGCAAGAGGTAGAAATTTGCCTTCGGCACTGTGTAAAGAGCCCTCTGCTCGTCCCCCGCTAAGGGAAATGGAACAGACAAGCACAGCTAATTGGAGTCCCTCCCACCTCCCAGCAGAGAACATCTGTCTGCCTCCAGAAGGATGGCTGTCGCGTTGAGTGGATTTTCGGTTCCACACGGTGTCCACCGCGACTGCCCCTGAACCCACTTGCCTTTTCATCACACTGCCTGGGGAAACTGGCCCCTGATTTCCTTCTCTGCGGCTGCAACAGAGCTTTGGTTAAGTTGCTGGGACTCCGCGTGTGTAGCTGGCTTTTCGCACCTGCTGCCTTACCTCACTTAGTTGAGTGTCTACACTTGTGTGATCCAGGGCCAGCCACTGCCCTGGCTGGTCGTCGCTTCGTGGAGTAAAGACTCAATGAGACAGCAGGCTGCACCTGCTGCATAGCAGCCAGTGACAAGCTGAGGAGCGGAGACAGCTGGCGGGGCGGCACGCCACTACCTGCTCTCCCCCAGACCCCCGCGTCCCCTGGGACCTCCCTGTTCCGCTTCCTTCCACAAGCCCTCTCTCCTTTCCCTGCCTCTCCAACAGCCAGGATGTTGTCATGCTTCTAGAAAAAGCAAGAGCAAAAGAAAACCCTCCTCCTGTAGGCATTTTGTGGAGAGTCCAAATGTTTTAATTCATTAGTCCTGGCAAACCTAAAATACAAACAGACTTGCTTCACAGGACAGGAATGTCTTCAATGTGACCCAATCGGTGTCTGTCTATTCCAGCAAACTGGCAAAGATAGTATGACTGCAGTCAGCAAAAATGCTGGCCGCTCCGAGCCACTCAGCGAGACCCAGCCAACTTGGACAGGCCACAAGGAGGCTCGCAGATGGTAGCAGCGATGATCCCCGTTAAGAACGTGAGGTTTGAGGTTGGGCTGGTGATTGGGCTCGATGGCTGGATCCCATCTACAAATGCAACCAGCTGCAAAACGAGACAGTAATGTAAATAGGAATGGAGCGTTAAAATTGTTCAGCCTTCCAACAGCTAGAAACCTGAATGTCCATAGTACTTTAAAATAGTTGTATGATGAAGTTGAGGTTAAATAATTAAACAAATAAAAGGACTCAGCAGGTTTCCCTGAACTAATGAGCGGAAGGCTAATTGGCTATGATATGCACAGCACTGAAGCTGTATGGACATAGAGCATTTGCGTATAAACCTGTCTACCTTTCCAAATGCAAGTCTTTCCAGGAATTAATATTACTGTTTTGATGTTATTTTATGTATTTATTTATTTAATAATATCACCTTAAAAAAAAAAAAAGTTCCTATCGAGTAGATTCCAACTTATGGCAACCCCAAATGTGTAGAACAGTGCCCATGGGGCTTTCAATGGATGATTTTTTTGGAAGTAGACCATCAGGCCGAGAGGTGGATTGGAACCTAAGCTTTCAGTTAGCAGCCGAACACGTTAACTGTCTGCACCACCAGGGACTCCATAATATCACCTGACATGATGCATTATAATTTATCAAATTAATTTCCTATCCATTATCTCATTTTCATCTTCCCAACAATCCTAACAAATAGTCATGGTCAGTATTGTCATCTCTTTTGGACCAATGAGGAAACTGAGGCTCAGAAAATTTAAGTAAGAGGATCAAGGCTAAGCAGTCATTATGGACTAAAGGACCCAGGTAGAATCCAGGTTTTCTAATTTTTAGTTCATGATATTTCCACTATGCTGGGGTGCATGCTGTATTCAATTGAATTATTTATTTAAGATTAAGTTTGGCTCTCAGCTTTTGGCTTAGAGGAGGCTGGTCCAGCATCCAGCTCCATCTCACACCAGCTGCCTCTATCATGACGTTCAAGTTCAACCCCAAACAGATGAAACTTGTGCATCGGATGTGTGCCAGTGGGGAAGAGACTGCTTTGCATGCATTGGCTCCCAAGTTGACCCCTTGGGTCTGTCTCCAGAAAAGCTAGTGATGGCATTGACATTGCCCAGGCAATCAATGACCAGAAGGGTCTCCATGACAGTGAAAATGACCCTTCAGAATGGACAGATCCAGTATGACATAGACCTTCCACCTCTGCCTCTATCATCAAAGCCCTCAAGTAAACACCGAGAGAAAGAAAGAGGCAGTTACACATTAAAGACAATAGATGTATCACCTTTTATGATATCGTCAACAGCATTTGACAGATGTGCTGTAGACTTCTAGCCAGAGAACTCTCCAGAAGCACTAAAGACATCCTGCGGACTAACCAGTGGGTGGGCTGCAATGTCCATGGTGTTCATCCTCACAGCATCAAAGATAACATCAACAATGGTACAGTGGATACCCAGGTGGCTAAGAGCTACGAAGGAAAATATCTCATTAAGAGATCGTTTGACAACGGCGAGAAAGGAACAAAAAGAATAATCTAAATAGTCTAAACATGCTCTCTCCGAGTTTGATAATATAAATTCAAGAGTTTCAAAATAATAATTAATATTTACCAGTTCTTCTGTCCCCATAAGAGCAAGGATGAATTTCGTGGCTCTTTATCCAAACACTGCCAAGATGGTAACAAATCTGAAACCCAAGTGAAATCCCTTCCCACAACTGAAACCCAAAATAACTAAATGGTATTTTAAGCATTCAATAGAATTATATTAATTCAATCCAGAAAAGACATGTGTGTGTGTGCATCAAAATATTCACAGTATGTCTCTGGGTAGTAGCAGTATGTATATTGTTTTTTCTTCTTTTCAGCAATAAATATGTTTTTACTGTTATACTATTCAAGAAGCTTTTCACATGAGCTTTAGACTTCCTTCTGAATTATGACTTACAACGTGTACCGTGGCTTGTGGTACGAAATCCTGTCCCAGTTGAAAAACCTAACCCGTTGCCATCAAGTCAATTCCAACTCATAGCGACCCTATAGGACAGAGTAGAACTGTCCCATAGGGTTTCCTGGGAGTGGCTGGTGGATTCAAACTGCCAACCTTTTGGTTAGCAGCCAAGCTCTTAACCACTGTACCACCAGGGCTCCCCTGTCACAATTATGTGATCTCAATTTCTCAATACAATTGAATAAACATATTTTAAAGATTTGATATGTTCCAGACTAATGTTCCCAAATTTGCCTGATCATGCCTTTTAAAAATACCCATTCTCAGGCTCTGTCATGAGCAGGGCTTTGGAAGGTCTGAGTGGGTCTAACCAAACACCAAAACCAAACCCGTTGCCGTTGAGTCGATTCCGACTCATGAGTGGGCCTGGGGTTCTGCAAATTTAACAAAGTAACAGCGATGCCTATGCACTAGCATAACCCTATGGGATAGTTCTACTCTGTCCTATAAGGTTGCTATGAGTCCGAATCGAGTCAACGGCAACGGGTTTGGTTTTGGTATGGGTATGTGCTCGTACAGGTCGCCATGAGTTGGAGCCAACTCAGCAGTAACTAACATCCACAACAACAAAGAACCACTGAATTACTCAGTGGTTTCTCCTTCTTGGGCCTGTGGTTCCCTCTTGGTTTTTTGAGGGGGCAGGACAACTTCATAGGTAGTAAATACTATTCTTTTAAAAGAAAAACATAGTCTCCCAGTATTAACATATTGGGAGCAGTGGTGGTTTGCGGTAAGATTATTGCCTTCCACATGGAAAACGTGGGCTCGATTCCTGGCCAGTGTACCGCAAGCACGCCACCACCTGTCTGTCAGTGGACGCTTACATATTGCTGTGATGCTAAACAGGTTTCAGCAGAGCTTCCAGACTAAGACAGACTAGGAAGAAAGTCCTGGCAATCTACTTCTGAAAATTCAGCCAATGAAAATCCTAGGAACACAACGTTCTGATCCCATTGTGCGTGGAGTCATCGTGAGTTGACAGCAGCTAACAGCAACATGAGGCCTTCCTCCAGCAATTGACCCCTCCTGATTATGGGTCCAAAGAAAGCGAGTCAGACAAAGTTCTGCTGTGATCCATAATGGCACAATGGTTAAGTGCTCAGCTGGTAGCCAAAAGGTTGGCAGTTTGAACCCACTCAGTGGCTCCATAGAAGAAAAACCTGGTAATCTGTTTCCATAAAGATTACAGTCAAGAAAACCCTGTGCGGAAGTTCTGTTTTGTCACATGGGGTTGCTATGAGTCAGACTTGACTCGACAGCACTCAACAACAAGTGTCAGAAGTAGATCACCAGGTCTTTCTTCCTAGTTAGTCTTGGTCTGCAAGCTCCACTAAAACCTGTCCGCTATGCTGGTATTTGGAATCCCAGTGGCACAGCTTGCAACAGCACAGCAACAAGCAAGTCACCACAGTATGACATACTGACAGGTGGGTAGCGGACTTGACAGGACCAAGACAGGGCCCCGGTTTTCTAATCTGTACTTCATGCTATTTCCACTACGCCAGGATGCACTCCGTATGGAAGAGTTAATTGAATTATTTATTTGAGAATAAGTCTCACTCTCAGCTTTTGGCTTAAATAAGAACAAACAAGAAACGATGCATCAACTCCTTTAGAAAACTCTTACAAAATCAAATTTATACATTTATAAAGCTCTTGCTAGACCCAATTTACAGATTAAATACAAATAAAGCAACAACTCTGAAATACAATTTAACCACATTCATCTAACATGAGAGGAAATGTTTTCCTGACACTAAACAGGCACTTTCAACGTACGGGTACTCCACACTCTACGGTGCGGGGTTGCTGAGGCGCCACCTCCCCACGCTGCCGTCGCACGGGGACTGAATCCTTAAGAGACTTCTCTCCATGACTGGCTTTGAAGTTCATGTTTGATTGGTGCCCCATGACATTCTTCAGCCTTCACAAAGCAGTCATGCTTGGTGAGGGAAGTGCTGAACACCTGGTGTCAATAAACGTTGGTCATCTTTTTTTTCCAACCACAACTGCTTCTTTTTGTGCCGCATTAACCCACAAACACATGCAAGGCCTAAACAGATGTATCCCAAATGCCTTTCAGACACTTCTCCAACATTTCTTATTTCAGACACTTTTTAAATGAATTTCAGGTTTAAAATGCAGAACAAAAGCCAAAGTCACAAAAAAAAAAAAAGACCAGATTTACTGGTCTTACAGAGACTGGAGAAAACACTGAGAGTATGGCCCCCAGACACACTTTTAACTGAGTACTGAAGTCACTCCTGAGGTTCACCATTCAGACAAAGATTAGACAGGCCCATAAAACAAAACGAGAGTAAATGGGCACACCAGCCCAGGGGCAAGGACAAGAAGGCAGGAGGGGACAGGAAAGCTGGTAATGAGGAACCCAAGGTCAAGAAGGCAAGAGTGTTGACATGTCGTGGGGTTGGTCACCAATGTCACAAAACAATATGTGTATTAATTGTTTAATGAGAAACTAATTTGCTCT